CCGCCGCCGTCGCCGCCGTGGTGGCGCTCCTCCCCAGACCTTTAAGTATTCGTTGTTTCCGATCGCGTGGATGACGGATGGAGGGAGGAAGGGAGGAAGGGAGGGAGGGAGGAAGGAGGGAAGGAGGGAGAAGGAGGAGGAGGAGGGAAGAAGAGAGGAAGAGAAGGAGGAGGAGGAGGAGGACGACGACGAGGAGGAGGAGGAGTATGACTAGGAGGAGGAGGAGGAGAGGAGGAGGAGGAGAGGAGGAGGAGGAGGAGGAGGAGGAGGAGGAGCAGCAGGAGGACGAGGAGGTCGACGAGGAGGAGGAGGAGGATGAGGAGGATGAGAAGGAGGAGATGGAGGAGATGGAGGAGGAGGAGGAGGAGGAGCAGGAGGAGGAGGAGGAGGAGGAGGAGGAGGAGGAGGAGGAGGAGGAGGAGGGAGGAGGACTAGGAGGAGGAGGAGGCGGAGGAGGAGGAGTAGGAAGAGAAGGTGCAGAAAGAGCAGGTTTTCGGTTTCCAGAGGCCCTTGCAGGGACCATTAAAAGAAACGCGGGACGAAAAGTCGGCCTTTGGATTTGGGCCAGCTTTCTAGGAACCCCGTATCCATTTCCTCCGCATCGTTCTCCTTCGCCTTTGCCTCCTCCGTTTTCCCCCGCCCTTGGGCTTTTGCCAAGGATTTCGAAGAAAAAGAAACTGCGTAAATATACTCATTTGGAGTTCCGCGCGGACCTTTTGGATCGGTGCTGTGACCCTCTGGCTGCGTCCCCTGCTGATCGCCCCCCCATGCACTCGCGCCCGAACAACAACTTTCGTTGTGAGAGGGCACCTGTCTCCCCCCCCACTGATCCCCCCCACTCTAGTTCGCGCCCCCTCGGCGGCATCCCGCTGCAGTTGTTCCGCGTGCGTCGTTGGAGGCCTCGGCCGTCTGCCCTCTCAGCGCGGCGACGAGCAGCGGGGACCAGAGAGAGAGGGAGCGCGGCCCCGCCAGGCCTTCCTGGCCGCACGGCTCGGCGGCGGCGCCGGCGCGCGGGCCACGGCGGCCGCCGGGGGAGGCCCGCCGCGCAGGGGATCCGCGCAGATCAGGTGATGGGCCTGATTTCCACCACCACCACCACAAGTTGGAGGGGGAGGGGCTCCTCCTCCTCCTCCTCCTCCTCCTCCTCCTCCTCCTCCTCCTCCTCCTCCTCCTCCTCTTCGTTCTCCTCGTCCTCCGCCTCCGTCCCCCTCCAACTTATGGTGGTGGTGGTGGTGGAGAACAGGCCCATCATCAGGGGTAACGTTCTGGAGGGAATGGGCCCCACGGGGGCGCACAGGACCCCGAGTCGGCCCTTCGTCGCCGAGTGGCGGGCGCAGGCAGGGCGCCCCGGTGCCCAGGGAGCGTGCGGCTCCGCTGCCAGGGGCCCATGGCCGAGCTCTCGGCGGTGCGTCGCCAGTGCTGGCTCGACGTTCGAGCAGTTGCGGAGCGTCCCGGCCTGCCTATAGGCCCACCAGAGAGTGGTCTGAGAGCTTTTTGTGGTACACGCGAAACATGTGATTCGGGCATTTCAGGCCGAGACTGTCTTGCCTTGACACATCGGGCTCATGTTCTAAGAACACCTGTTTTGCTCTTGGAGGACTCCTTGGTTCTGAGAACACAGCGTTCTGGAGCACACTCATAGCGGTCTGGAACGCTCCCAGAAGGCCGCGGCGCCCGAGGCAGCCTCCAGAGTCACCGGATCTCAGAGATTCTCGATTCATCCTCACCCGAAGTCATCATCGCTCTGGCTTCGTCTTAAGGAGGGCCGAGGAGAGAGGAAAGGATCTTGCTCTTCAAGGCTCCGGGAATGCAGAGGCACTGTGATGTACGCAGGCATTGTGGTGCACGCAGGCGTTGTCGTAAACACCTGTGCTGTGCCTGTTTTGCGAGCGCGCCTGCGGGGGTGCACGCCGGCCGCCGTTATACCGTGACCCTCCCGCCGACCCCCCTTGGTCACACATGTTGTTATTTGGCACCCCCAGCAAGTAATGATACAGCAAATCAAGGAGGGGAGGACGACGGGCGAGGGGGGTAGGTCCCCCCTTCTGCTCATCCTGCCTCCCTCGGGGCCACCTTCCTCCGGAGCTGTGGCTAACTGGATTGCCCTCCCTCCCCGCTTCTGGCTCAGTCTGCACGCGCCCATCCACCGCAGACCCCAGATCCGCCTCCAGCCTTTTCGGCTCCCCGCCCGGTCGCGCTCGCCAGCCCACGCCCTTCCCCACGGAAGCCGTCCAGCTCTGCCCTGGCTGGCGCGAAAGGGGGTCCAGCTACAAGGAGGCGGTGCGATAGATTTTGAGCAGTTGCCAATGCATTGCGCCAAACAGTCCTACGGCATTGTGTTGCCTCTGCTGTACTGCACGCAGACATCCAGCAACACATTTGACCACCGAGCCTCGCCGGCGGCGAGTCGGCGAGGATTCGGGGTGGCCGCACGGCCTGGGGCCTCCTCCCCAGGCCCCCGACGTCCTGATTTTTTATGTTACGTCGGCCCCCCGAGGTCTGAACCTAATCCCCGGGACCGACCGGATTCTCTTCCCGAGTTGGGCCCCGAGGGGGCGAAAACAGCGGAAGACCTCCCGTCATGATTTTTTCATCACTCGAGGGGGTCTGGGTCCAGAATCCCGCAACGGTGCGGTGACGGACCGTGCGGAGAAAGTTTTGAGGATGTCGAAGTCACCGCACGGTCGGTCACCGCGGATCGCCCGTCTTCGCCGGTTGCCTCCCATGGCAGCGAGGGCGGCGAGGGCGACCTTTTGGGTGCTTACCCTCAGGACAGCAACTATACACGCGGGGGGCTCGTCTCGGCAGGCAAGCCAGGTTGCAGCCCACCCCCCTGGCCAGCCGCAGGACGCGCACGGCCGCGCACAGAGCAGGACGTGGCGTCAGGGTCGGTGGAGCCAGTGAGGTCGATGGGGATTCCGTGGTTAGGGGAACGAAGACTGACGTAAACATGACAACTCTGAGGTCCGCGCGGATTTCTCGCATCCGCGCTGGACCCCCCTCCTTGGCGCGCGGAGCGCGCCAGGGGCGACGCCAGAGGCGCCGCCAGGCGGCTCCAGCGCCGGAGCCGCGAAATCCGCGCGGACCTCCGGGTTTGTATGTTGATGTCATTCTTCGTTCCCCTTAAGAGTGAGGTCGATGGGGATTCCGTGGTCACCGCACGGCCTGCCACCCCACCGTTTCGGGACCCTGGGCCTCCCGGGCCCTCCCTCTGGGTGGACTCTCTCCTCAGCTTCGCCGCCTCGCCACAGGCCCGCCGCCGCTGCAGCAGCCGCTGGGCCCCGGCGTCGGGGGCGACCGGGACGCGGTGCGGAGGGGGCGGTGCGGAGGCGGAGGGGCGACGACGAGCAAGACGCTGCCCAGATCGGCGACGACAAAGGGTATGGGTGCGCCGGGGTGTGGTTTGCGATCAGCACCGTCCGGGCCTGGGGGGCACGACACGGTCCTCGTCGGACCTCCTCGGGGCGCGGGAGAACTCTGTCGATGTCCCCGCGCGCCCCCCAGGGTGCCCCCCAGGATGTTCCCCAGGGTGCCAGTTTCAAACCACACCTTTTGGAGTCGCCGACCAGAGGCCCAAATAGAGGGCGCATTGCCGTCTAAATTTGGCCTTGGCGGAGGAGGTATAGAACACCAGAGGGCCAAGGAGGAGACACACAGAAGCGTTTCAAAGCGAGGTCGTGGTGCAGCAAACGCCGACAAGGACGCCGACGACGACGACGACGACGACGACGACGCCGATGCCGACGCCGACGCCGACGCCGACGCCGACGCCGACGCCGACGTCGACGACGGCGACGACGGCGACGAGCACGTCGACGGCGGTGGGGACGACGGCGACCAGCACAACGGATACGGTGGCGGTGGCAATCACAACGTCGCCGACCATGGCGGAGGCCACGACGGCGACGACGACGGCGGCGGCGACGACGGCGACGGCGAGGAGCAAGACGACGGCGACGACAACCTCGACGACGGCGACGACGACGGCGACGACGACGGCTACGGCGACGGCGACGGCGACGGCGCCTGCCGCGCCGCCCAGGAGCCAGGGCTGCAGCAATGGGCCAGGCCCAGCAGCCGGGGCGAGCGGCGGCATCGGAGGGACAGGCGTCTGTTCCGCCCCCCGCTCGGCACGATCGAACCGGGTACAGTCGGACCGAGGTACAAGATCGAGATCGGTTCGGGGAGGGTACCCTAGTGCTCTTCGTGTTTGTTGGCCGCGCCACAGCTGGCCGCACCCGCCCACTCGACGCGGAAGTCTTCCACGTCTGAGTGGTTCTCCTCCTTCTCCTCCTCCTCCTCCTGTCTTCCGCGCGGCCGCCCTGTAGTCCTTTTCCCCCCTAATGCACGCGGGCCAATTCGCTTGTCGGTCGCCACGAATCGCCACCCGCTGGAGCAGCTTCTCTGCCTCGCCGCCGTCTGTTGGGTGTTCTTGTGCATGCTGGGGAGGGCACCCTTGTATGTTCAGTTTGTTTTGGCCGGCCGAGTGACTCATGTTCTTGAGGACTGTCTCAGGTCCGACTGCACGATCGACATGGGTACGGAAGGACTGGGCACGGAGACCGACACCACGTCCTGTTCGTTTTGAGCAGGGCTCGCTGTCCGTGCCGCCGCGGGCGTGGTCCGCTTGAGATGGAGGTCGGCTGCCCAACAGCGGCCGCTGTCGGATTTGGACGGCTGCTGCTTGGCACTGGACGTGCCCATTTTTCTTCGCCCTCCTCGGGCCCGGCCTTTCGGGCACGCCGCTCTGCCTCTTTTCGGGCTTCCCGCTGGCGGCGGCCACGCCCGGGGCAGCGGCCGTGGCAGCGGCGGCGGCCTCGGCCTCGGCGGCGGCCTCGCGACAGCGGCCGTGGCGGCGGCCGTCGGCCGCGGGAGGCAACGGCAGCGGCAACCACGGCTGGTGGCGGCGCTGGCAGCGGCGGCAGCAGTGGCGCGGCGGCAGCGGCAGCGGCGGCGGCGGGGGCGGCGGCGGTCACGGCGGCGGCGGCTGGAGGGCCCTCCGTCCCTTCGAGCCCCTGCCGGCGAGAGCGGGCCCCCGGCGCGGTGGGTGCTGCGGCGACGACGGCGGCGATGGCGGCGGCGGGATGCTCGAGAGCTCGAGAGCTCAAGAGAACAGTTTCCGCTGCGGTTGTGCGCGCGCCGATGCCGCGGCCGACCGCGGCCGACGCCGGCGTATGTTCGGCCCGAGCCTCTCGGGCACTCGCTGCCCCCGTTCGCTCGCGCACGTCCTGCCTGCTCGCGACTCGCCCGCCAGGCTCGCTTTTCCTGACGACAATGCCGGCTTGGCAGGTCCTGATCGCAGCGCCGGGGGCCGTGCTGATTACGAGCTTCGCCCTGAGCGCCTCAGCAGCGGAGCCTCCCAGGCAGTTGCGAGCGGGTACTCCAATGCCTAACCACCCAAAGGTCAGCGCCAACTCCACGACCGAGATGACGACTACGACCCTGACCTCGACCACGGCCAAGGGCCCGCAAACGCCATGCGGGAACGAAGACGAGTCCTGCTTCATCGATACCGACTGCTGCTCCGGTCGCTGTTCTTTCACTTTCCGTTGCGCGCCGGCACGGCGACTCAGCGGCTCGGCGGCTGATGGAGATCTGCCCGCGGTCACCACGAGCATCGGCGACTTGCCCGAGGTCAGCGCCAGCTCCACGACTGAGACGACGACTACGGCCCTGACCTCGACCACGGCCAACGACCTGCAAACGCCATGCGAGAATAACCAGCTGCTGCCATGCCGGAACATTAGCGAGTCCTGCTACATCGACTGCGAATGCTGCTCTGGTCGCTGCTCGTTAACACGCCGTTGCGCGCCTGTGCTGCGTCTCCGCGGCTCGGCGGCTGATGGAGAATTGCCCGCGGTCACCACGAGCATCGGCGACTTGCCCGAGGTCAGCGCCAACGCCACGACCGAAGTGACGACTACGACCCTGACCTCGACCACGGCCAACGGCCCGCAGACGCCATGCGGGAACGAAGACGAGTCCTGCTTCATCGATACCGACTGCTGCTCCGGTCGCTGTTCGCTAACCCTCCGTTGCGCTCCTGTGCGACGGCTCGGCGGCTCGGCGGCTGATGGAGATCTGCCCGCGGTCACCACGAGCATCGGCGACTTGCCCGAGGTCAGTGCCAGCTCCACGACTGAGACGACGGCAGCGCCTGCGGACACGACTACGGCCAACGTCGCGTGACTGCCGCTCCGTCTCATCGGCGTGCCCTGTTCGATGGACAGACGATGTTGCTCTGCGCGCTTTTAGCACTTCCTCGCACCTCGCTTTTTCAAACTGGCGCATTAGGTGCTTGTCCTCTATGTCTGTTTGCCAAATTTGTGGCGTACGTGAAGACGGTGGGAAGCGTTGACATTCGCTTGTGACTGGCCACGTAAGGCCGCGCGCAATCGCCCTCTTCTCCACGCGGTGTGCCGCGTAGGCGGTCCGTGTAAGCCACCGCGTGAAGTTTCTACGTCTTCGTGTGCAAATCCCCGTTTTAGCTCGTCGCTCACATGATTCTTAAAGCGTGACACTTCTGAAAGCACCACAGAATGCGCCCTCGTCTGGAGGTGCGGGTCATCGCCAGGTGTGCCCGGGCGAGTACAGGCGCCCGCGGCGCGCCGGTTGACTTGTTTCATTCGTATCTCTACAGATGAGGTGTTGCATCAGAGATTGTGAAAGGTTTGAACGCTCAGGGGCCAATGGCGCTGGCGAGCTCGAGTCATAGGGAAGCGCGACCGGCCCGATAACATGGAGCGTTGCGGAGTCCCCGTCCCATCAGTTGGGAGATTGGGAAGTCCTCCCGCCTGACTTCTGGTGCCATCCGCCAGAAGAGGAGCATTACTGTTAGGACCTCTTCCGTCTGGACATGTTGTCGACAGCATGCGTGGGTCTGCGAACGCCTATGCTTACAGAGGCGAAGGCCCTGGCAGGAACCAGAAGAGCCCCTGCCAGAACCTTCTTGTGAATTAGTGGTATTGGGGCCGCAAGCGGTAACCTTGCAAGGGCCATCGCCCGTTTCCTGCTCCTTGTATCCTCTTTGCTTCGCGGGTTTATATTCATGTTCATACATACAGGTGTTGTGCATCTGACTTTAGATATACATAGTTTGTTTGCTATCTCCCTTTCTCTTACGACACGACAATTTTCATACTACTCTCCTGGATTCTGTGCGAGGGGGGCGCTTGTTTCTCCGGCAGACCCAGCAGCCTGCGGCAAACCCCGGCACCACGACAGCACGGCAGCGCAGCGTGAGAGAGAGAGAGAGAGTGGGTCGCAGCCCCGCGGAAGATCAGCGCGCAGTCTGAGCTCGAGTGGGTCCGAAGCTCGACCTCTTTCCCTCGACTCTCAGGGGCCTCGTGGAGAGCTCCTGGAGGGCCCCTGTGGGGCCTCTTGGGGCTTCTTGGGCCATCTCAGGGCTATCCTATCCCTCCTGGCGCCTTCGGAGGACGTCTTGGGCAGACCGTCGGGGAGGTCTCTTGGACCGTCATGGGCCTTCTCGAGGGCCTCAAGGACATTTGGGGAATCAATTATGGGGTCCTCTTGGGCTGTATCGGGAGCCCCTTGGGCCGTCTTGGAGCAGACTGGGTTGTCTTCGAGGCGTCTTGGACCACCTCAGAGGCATCTTGAGGCGATGGTGGTTGGATCCTGCTGGTTGCCTTGGCGCCGTCTGGAGGCCAACAAGAGCACCGAAATGGAACTCCTGGGGCGGGGGTGCTTGTTTTCAAGGGTTTCAAGGGTGCTTGCGTCGAGGGGATGGGAATAGTCCTACAACACGCCAAAATAGTTAATGCCAGGCAGCAGAGGTATATCCCGACACGCCCAGTGCCGTGGCGGATTGCGTTCTACGAAGCTGACCTCAGCCGTTGGCACATCGTAGTTGTATTGTGCTCCGTCGGAGCGTGCTCGTTGTTCAAGATGGTGCTCCTGCTGCAGCGCCAGCAGCATTTCAGGATTGGCGCTGTGCTCTCGTCGCTCAGAAGGGCGCCCTCGCCCCACCGCGGGCAACATCTCCAGATCTTCGTAGTCATCCTCTTCCTCTTACCTGTTGTCCTGGTCATCTGCCATCTCCTCATCTTCCAATGTGCGCGGCTCTCATTTCGGATTGCGCGTTGCACGATGGGTTTTATTTTCCATTTCCAAAGGGTGGGGATATTGTTATTACTCTGACCGCGCGGACCTTCTCACTCCTCCTCACCTCCTCCCTCTCTTCCCCACCCTGCTCAGAGGATGATGCATGATGCCGATGATGAGTACGGTGATGGCGACTGATGACCAGGGGGTCATTGCAAGGATGTCTCGAGCGGTTTGCCTGTTGTGGTGGCCAGACTCGTCTGCGCTCAGAGCAGATCCTGAGGATGTCTCAGGCGGTTTGCTGGTTTTCGCACTCCTAAGGTGGGGCCGCTAGGGGTACTGCACGGCCTCCGTTCGCGCCCCTATTGCGGGGATGTTTCAGGCGGTGTGCCTGTTTCGGTGCCCCAACATCCTTTTCTTTCGGAGCAGATCCTGAGGATATCTCAGGTGGTTTGCTGGTTTGAACACTCCTACGGGGTGTCGACAGGGGTATTGCACGGCCTCCGTTCGCGCCCAGAATGCGGGGATGTCTCAGGCGGTTTGCTTGCGTCGGCGCCCCAACATCCTTCGCTTTCGGAGCAAATTCTGAAGATGGCTCGAGCGGTTTGCTGGTTTCAGCATTCCTAAGGGGGGGGTCGCCAGGGGTATTGCACGGCCTCCGTTCGCGCCCAGATTGCGGGGATGTCTCAGGCGGTCTGCCTGCGTCGGCGCCCCAACATCCTTCGCTTTCGGAGCAAAGTCTGAAGATTGCTCGAGCGGTTTGCTGGTTTCAGCACTCCTAAGGGGGGGGTCGCCAGGGGTATTGCACGGCCTCCGTTCGCGCCCAGATTGCGGGGGTGTCTCAGGCGGTTTGCCTGTTTCCGTGCCCCAACATCCTTCGCTTTCGGAGCGAATTCTGAAGATGGCTCGAGCGGTTTGCTGGTGTCAGCACTCCTAAGGGGGGGGGTCGCCAGGGGTATTGCACGGCCTCCGTTCGCGCCCAGATTGCGGGGATGTCTCAGGCGGTTTGCCTGCTTCGGTGCCCCAACATCCTTCGCTTTCGGAGCAAATTCTGAAGATGGCTCGAGCGGTTTGCTGGTTTCAGCACTCTTAAAGGGGGGGTTCGCCAGGGGTATTGCACGACCTCCGTTCGCGCCCAGATTGCGGGAATGCCTCAGGCGGTTTGCCTGCCTCGGTGCCCCAACACCCTTCGCTTTCGCAGCAGCGTCTGAAGATGTCTCGTGCGAGGCGCTGGTTTTCGCACCCCAGGGGGGCCAGACTTCGGGGACGTCTCGATCGGTTTGCCTGTTTTGGTGGCCTGGCCTCGTGGGCACGGATCCTCCCCAGGATGCTACAGAAGGCTCCAGCAGGCTCCAGGAGGCCCTAGGAGGCAACAGGAGATCCCAGGAGGCATCCGGAGGCCACAGGAAGATTCAAGAGGCCACAGTATTCCCCGAGAGGCTCCAGGATGCCCCAGGAAGCTCCAGAGGGCCTCAAGAGGCTCCAAGAGGCCACAGGAGCCTCCAGGAGGCCACAGGAAGCGCCTGGAGGCACCAGGAGGCCCTGGAAGGCACCAGTAGGCCTCAAGAGGCTCCAGGAGCAGGAGGCCTCAGAAGGCCACAGGAGTGGCTCCAATCCCATTTCTATGCTGGTACAGGTTGTGCCTCCCCTGGGACACGAGTCCTTGGTGCTTGACGTCTGTTTATATAGACTGTCCGTCTCTTGCGTATTTAATCCCAAGCGTTTTACGTACGTTCCTTTAGATTGGGCCTTCTCCTGGGGCACTAATCCTCCCCAGGAGGCCCAAGGAGGCTCCAGGACACTCAAGGAGGCCCCAGGAGGCCCCAGAAAGCACCAGGAGGTTTCAGGAGGCCCCAGGCTCATGCGCACATACTAACTCGTACTACAGAGGCTCATTCGCACTCCAATTCATTCACTGTTAGATTCACTTCCAGTCTATCGATATTCAAACCTGTTTATATTCGAAGTCTCTTGCGCTTAGGCACTCATGCGGAAAGGGTCCAGTGAATAATTGTGTGTGTGGGTGGCCCAGGCTCGCTTTGACACCCGCCAGCGGACGGAGAAGCATATCAGCGCAGTGAAAATGGATGGATGGGAGAGATAGGATATGCGATATGTCGCGAGCGCACTTAGCTTGATTCTCTGTCTTCCTCTCTCGGTATCTTGCTGTCCCTCTCTCTCTAGATAAATATCTATATATATATATATATACATACATACATACACGTGTGTGTTCTCTCTCCGTGGCCCTCTTCTCCAGCTTAGCGCACGGCGCCAAGTTTATCTTATGCGCGTCTCTCTTTCCGAGCCACTTTGTCGACATTGAGCCAGTTGAAGTATTGGTCAGGATGTCAGCGCACTTGGTACAGCTTGTATTCTGCGCTCGTGTGTAGGATTGGAGGGGTATTCAGCTCGGCGGAATCCATGCAATTACTGTTGAGTCGCACTGCGGCCACCGCGCACACATGACCTCGCCTCCAAAATTGGATCAAGATGCCGACTGCTCGAGCTGGACTTGCTTGCCCTAGTCGTGCCGAGCTCGCTAAGAGCCATCTGCCGAGAAATGCACAAGCATAAACTTGTGGAGGCCCGCGCGGATTTCTTGGGATCCTCGCTGGACCCGCAGCGCGCGCCAGGGTCGCGGCCGGAGGCACCGCCAGGAGGGCCCGGCGCAGACCCACAGACATCTGCGCAGAGCTCAAATTTGTTATGTTTACGCCGTGCATCGGGGGTGGACAGACCTCCTACCCTGACACGTCGATCAAGGAATTGGCCGTTTTCGGTTCGCGAAAGGCGTCGCACCCGTCATTTTTGCGGGTCCAGGTCCGTCGGTTTCGGTCTCAGGCGCGTTTCACTAAGGGGAGGTTTACTAAAGGGAGGTTTGTCCACCGCCGAGTGAATCCGAAGCATCACACATGGGGGCGTTTTTTATTCATCGTTTTGCCGATCGGCGCGGGTCCCCCCCCCTCCCCCCACCCCCATGGAGTAGATCTTGGGTGTTTTTTGGCGCCTGTTTCGAGCAGGTGGAGCCTCCTCCATGGGACGCACGGTCCCAAACCGTCGCACTAAAAGCAGAGGTCCAGGGCCAGACCCCCCCCCCTCCCTCCTTCCGCCCAATGTCGAAACGCCGAATAAAAAACATTCACCATGTCGGGGACGAGGCCCGAGGCTGCGGTCCAGGGATACTGGTACCTTCATGCTGGGACGGGGAGGGTCTACTCAGGAGGGAAAGAAACACAGACACAATTAATCGTCGACTCCAAGGAAAATATAGGAAAATATGGGAAGTGGGGGGGAAGACGAAAGCCCAGAAAGTACGGAACCAGATCGGAAATCTTGGGATTCGTGTGTACTTCTTTGTGTGTCCTTGGGCCCCTTCATCCACGGGCTCGGGGGGGCGCGCCCGCGACTGCGCTGGGGGGACTGCGGAAGCCCCAAGGCGCTTCATGCCATAGCTCAGAGGAGGACAGGTGCCCACACCGCTGCGCTCGCCTCGTTTTTCCCCCGCTGTGGGCCTCCCGGGAGGCCCTCGTCGCAACCGCCAGCTTCGCCTCGGAATCCTGGCCAGAAAGCACCCTGCGAGAGGTCCAGGGGGCAGCGGCATCGGTCCCAGGCCGTGATTCTTGGGCTTACGCCGCAGCGCCGACCCCTTGGGGGGCTCCTGGTAGGTCTCTCGAGGGCCTCCTGGCAGCACTTTTGAGGCCTTTTGGAAGCCGTTTTAGTTGTTCCCTCCCTTCTTTGAAGGCCAAAACAGCAGGTTCCAATAACTTTGCTTGACATCTTCTGGCAACTTTGGTGTGTACGAAGGAGTCCCAGAGGAAACAGGAATGTCGTTCGTGACAGCGTCGGCCTGCCCCGTGTGGTTGGTTGTGGCAGGTCCTGAAGAGGATGGCCAACCACACGCCGAAACGCTGAGGGCGAACTGGACCAAGGGTACCCGAATAGTTGGGCATACTCAGTCCGAGACCAAAGGAGGATCCCAAGACCAAGATAATGCCGATTGTATTGCACTCGTGTTGACATGTAGTTGCTTTAAGAATCCTTCCATTCAGAGTTGGCATGATGTTGCACTTGCTGTGATATGTCAGGCAAATAACTGGTTATCAACCGAAAGCTCTCCAGGAGCTCGTCTTCGGCGGCGCAGCTTTTTTCCCATCAATCAGAGAGATTCCGGCATGCCTGCGCGTGTTGCAGAGAGACTCCGGCATGCCTGCTGTGAAGTCGGTTCCGCCGTCCTGTGTTCCAGTCAGTGCTCTGGTCACGGGGGCGGGGGGTCAGACATTCAAGGAAAAAGGGGGCACCTGCGGCCAGTCCGCCAGGTGCCGACGGTGTCACGAAAGAGGGGGCAGTTGTTCCCTCCCTTTTTCGAAGGCCAAAACAGCAGGTTCCAATAACTTTGCTTGACATTTTCTGGCAACTTTGGTGTGTACGAAGGAGTCCCAGAGGAAACAGGGATGTCGTTCGTGACAGCGTCGGCCTGCCCCGTGTGGTCGGTTGTGGCAGGTCCTGAAGAGGATGGCCAACCACACGCCGAAACTTTGAGGGCGAACTGGACCAAGGGGTGCCCGAATAGTTGGGCATACTCAGTCCGAGACCAAAGGAGGATCCCAAGACCAAGATAATGCCGATTATATGGCACTTGTGTTGACATGTAGTTGCTTTAAGAATCCCTCCATTCAGAACTGGCATGATGTTGCACTTGTTGTGATATGACAGGCATATAACTGGTTACCAGCCGAAAGTTATCCAAGAGCTCGTCTTCGGCGGCGCAGCTTTTTTCCCATCAGCCAGAGAGATTCCAGCATGCCTGCGCGCGTTGCAGAGAGACTCCGGCATGCCTGCTGTGAAGTCGGCTCCGCCGCCCTGTGCTCCAGTCAGTGCTCTGGTCACGGGGGCGGGGGGTCAGACATTCAAGGAAAAAGGGGGCACCTGCGGCCAGTCCGCCAGGTGCCGACGGTGTCACGAAAGAGGGGGCAGTTGTTCCCTCCCTTTTTCGAAGGCCAAAACAGCAGGTTCCAATAACTTTGCTTGACATTTTCTGGCAACTTTGGTGTGTACGAAGGAGTCCCAGAGGAAACAGGGATGTCGTTCGTGACAGCGTCGGCCTGCCCCGTGTGGTTGGTTGTGGCAGGTCCTGAAGAGGATGGCCAGCCACACGCCGAAACGCTGAGGGCGAACTGGACAAGGGGTGCCCGAATAGTTGGGCATACTCAGTCCGAGACCAAAGGAGGATCCCAAGACCAAGATAATGCCGATTATATTGCAATTGTGTTGACATGTAGTTGCTTTAAGAATCCTCCCATTCAGAGTTGACATGATGTTGAATTTGTTGTGATATGACACGCAAGTAACAGGTTATCAGCCGAAAGCTCTCCAAGAGTTCGTCTTCGGCGGCGCAGCTTTTTTCCCACCAGTCAGAAAGATTCCGGCATGCCTGCGCGTGTTGCAAAGAGACTCCGGCATGCCTGCTGTGAAGTCGGCTCCGCCGTCCTGTGTTCCAGTTGGTGCTCTGGTCACGGGGGCGGGGGGTCAGACATTCAAGGAAAAAGGGGGCACGTGCGGCCAGTCCGCCAGGTGCCGACGGTGTCACGAAAGAGGGGGCAGTTGTTCCTTCCCTTCTTCGAAGACCAAACAGCAGGTTCCAATAACTTTGCTTGACATTTTCTGGCAACTTTGGTGTGTACGAAGGAGTCACAAAAGGCAACAGGGACGTCGTTCGTGACAGCGCCGGCCTGCCGTTCTGTGGTTAATTGTGGCAGGTCCTGAAGAGGATAGCCAACCACACGCCGAAACGCTGAGGGCGAGCTGGACCAGGGGTGCCCGAATAGTTGGGCGTACTCAGACCGGGACCAATGGAGGATCCCAAGACCAAGATAATGCCGATTATCTTGCACTTGTGTTGACATGTAGTTGCTTTAAGAATCCTTCCATTCAGAGTTGGCATGATGTTGCACTTGTTGTGATATGTCAGGCAAATAGCTGTTTGGGGGCCTCTTAGGGCTTCTTTTTGGCATCATTTTGGAGCCTCTTGGGGGCTTCCTGGAGGCATCTTGGGGCCGAGGGCTCGAAATTTCTGTTCGGGTCCCCCGCCTGGGCCCACTCCTGGAGGCGTCTTGGGGGCCTCTTGGGCCGTCTTCGGGCCCTCTTGGGTCGTCTTGGATCTTGGAGGCCTCTTGGGCCGTCATGGACGTCATGGGCGCTGTGGAAGCCCAAGGGGCGAACCTGCTGAAATGATACGTTTCCCCAAAGGAAACTTGACGATTTTTGCTTCTGGGGGCCCTCTTGGGGCGCCTCTTGGGGCATCTCGGGGTCCTCTTGGGCCGTCTGGGGGCCACATTGTCTTGGAACGATCCATCGGCGACTCGGGGCCCTCTTGGACCATCTTGTGGGCCTGTTGGGGCCCTCATGTCCGGTCGTGAGGCCCGTGACGCGTTCACCGGCCGGACCCCCCCCCCTCCAAAACGCTCGGACCAGGCTCTGGGGGGAGGGGTTTGGGGATGGGGGGAGCATTTCACGCGCCGATTACCCCAAGGGGCCGGATTTTTTATAACGTCGACCCCCAGAGGTCTGGACCCGGTCCCCTGGACCGGTTTCCATCCCGCGTCGTTGTTTGACGGTCCCGATGCCCTGGAAAGGCCCTCGGGGGCCGAAGACAGCGAAACACTAACCGTTTTTTGCTGCTTATAGTTGTGTATATCTATATATATATATATATGTGTGTGCGTGTGTTTATTTATGAATACCTATATATATATATATACATATACATATATATATATATATATACAAGAGGCACGTGTGTGCCCAGGCTCATACAACAAGCTGAAGGGGCGTTTGAATCAGGAGTGACATGCAACAGCGAAGTCGCACTCGAGCGCAAGTGGGGTTGCCACACCTTGCGATGTGTGTACCAGGGCCCCCCAGGAAGCCTCAGGAGGCCCGACTTGGATACCAGAAGAGGCTCCAGGAGGCCCCAGGATTGTGAGTGTGTGTGTGTGTGATGTGTGCTTTGTGTGGTGCGTGCTTTTTGTGTGTTGTCGGTGTTGTGTGTGTGTGTGTGTGTGTGTGTATGTTATGTTTGTCTAGCGTGTGATGTGTTGGGCGTGATTTGTGTCTCTGTGTGTGCATGTAGTTCTGAAGCCCCAGGAGGCCCCAGGAGGCCCCAGGCGGCCTCAGCAGGCCCAGGAGAACTCCAGGAGGCTCCGAGGCGGGGTCTGGGGTACCAGAAGGTCCAGAAAGCCCCAGGAGGCCCCAGGAGGTTCCAGGAGGCCCCCAGGAGGCTCCGAGGAGGGGTCTGGGGCTCGATTTTGGGAGGATGTCTCAGGCGAAACCGCCATTCTCTGAGAATCGGGGTCAAACTTATTGAAATTACCATGTGTTTTTGAAGGTTTTATGTTAACATGTTGAAGTTCCCATGTGTTTTTGGACCCTGACGTCACGATCTGCGTGAGGGGTGCCACCGATTTTCAGAATTTCGAGGATGTCCCGAGCGAAACGGCCAGACAAATCGCGAACGACGTGCGCACTAATCGCCTCTGAGCTCTACTCCCTCGGAGAGGTGCGTATGAGAATATAAACATATATATATATATATATATATACATAACTGGTGTTTATTAATATCATGAGTATGATGA